TGAGACAATATACATTTGCCAAGTGAAATCACTGTCTAAATTATTTATAGGATTAAAGTTGAACGTTCACATATTGTAAAGGTGAGGAAAGCAAGCCAAATGTCAAAAACACAACTGGGAGGGAATTCTTAACCAACGTAGTGCTATCCACAAGTGTCCAGTCATTGATAATATTTTCTGCAAAGAGCACCTCACAAAAGCAGCAAAAACTCCAAAATTCATTGCATACATCCCTTGCCACAAGGAATTTTCTATAATCTGTTTTCAGGATCTGGCCTGTGTTGAAGTCAGCGATTTGTACATTCTGTGGCTTCATTCTTTTTTTTTTTTCTTCCAATCAGCTCCTAGGCTTCTGAGAACTGAACATTTGCCAGGGCTGAGTCAAACTTTCCTACCTCTTCAATGAGTTCCTGAATGAGTTCCTGTCTTGATTTCTGTGTATTTCTAGAAACAGGTCTCTGTATCACAGTCTGGAGTCCAGGGATCCTTCTACCCCAGGTTTGTCACACATCGTGCCCTTGACGTCTCCCTGCTCTCTTATCCTGTCCTGCCATCCCTCTCCTCACCAAGGTGCCCAACACTCTCGCTGCGGATCATAAAATCCTGTGAGGCTGAATCAGTTGGACACTCTTGCTCTCTCCATGTTGTAAGGGAAACCCAATGGGCCAGGGAGTCCAACCCTGCTCCGAGGGGCTCTCGAGAGGAAAGCACCGTTTCAAGGCAGCCAAGCTGATTCACATACAGTTTCTCAGGGGCACTCCCTACCTACATGCTTGGGGAATACAATTTTCTCAGTGTGATTTAGTCTGCGTAACAATGATAAATGCAAGGTGCACTGTAGAATTTTCAGAAACATGGACTCATGGACTTCTGGGAACTGTTTTATGAGGCTTCTTTAGGTTTCTCATAGGATCTCATTTAATCACTGAGCAATCTTTGCTAAGTTCCTTAAATTACAACTCAGTCTATCAACCAGGGATTATTCAGTTATTCTGTTGCTGGTAGCAGGGAGTGTTTTATTTATGAATTTAGTAATTTGCTACCTCATTTATAAACCAAGTCATTAACAGACTGGGTCCTATGAAATTCCTTTAGGAGACAGTGCAACATTTGTAGTCTCACTTCAGTTTCATGCAAATACAAACAAAAAGGCACACCAACAACTGAATCACTCAGATATTCTTCCACTTATAAATGCAATGGTGAAGGACCCGTTATCCCTGCAGTGTGGGCCACTGGGTTGATGAAAATGTTTTATTTTTCCCCAGGTGGGATCGGATCCCAACCCCAAGTCTTTCAACGAGTAATTCTACTCTCCCTGCTACCCTGTGGATACCACAAGAAAGCATCTCAAAGTTTCCTTCCTGTAAATATAAGAGAGATTGGCCTTCCTTACACACCTAATGGGTAGAGACAGTTCTTGCTGTGCAAGGGTTCATTCAGAAGGCTGTAGTGGTAGCGGTGAGGCCTTGGACTTGGTCTCTGCCAGGCAGCCTGATGCTGTGGAGAGGACTGTAGATTCCTAGCACATTGGTTAGATTGCTCGTTGACTGGGAAGCAGACCACTAGATGCTGAGAGCTTGGATCCCCATCTTCCTTTTCTCCTGGAGTTTTACAAATGGTTTTTTTGGGGGATTATTATATACATGGGTTTCTGGTTTCTTATGAAGAATTTTAATTAGGCGAAGTGCATGTTTTCCCTCTCCATTTGGTGAATGCTTCTTTTTTGATTTTTTAAACATATGCAGCAATTCCTGATTATATCCAGTTTGCCAGATTCAAGGAAAACATCCACAAAGAGGTCGTAGCGGGCAACACCTTCCTCAGTGCAGCATAACGCCCATCACAGGAACATTGTTCTGGTTTTGATTTCAAAGCAGTGTCTGAGTAAGCCTCCTTTGAATTGGAACATGAGTCAGCATTTAGTAAAACTGAGTTCAAACCACTACTCTAGATCCTGAGTGACAGGCAACTTCTAAATAGGGCACTGTTTGTTCATAGTTTTGGGTATCTGTGAGTTCCTTGGCTCTGTGAGACATGAGAGGCACTGATTCAGTTATATTTTTAACATTCCTTAAAATAAATCAAAGCATGTTGCCATTTTGGATGGGGAAGAGTATGGCGGAGGAAATGAAGCACTTACAAAGAGTCCAGCATCCCAGGATTATGCACTGGGCTCTGTGTCGGACTGCCGCGGTTAATATTATTTTGGTTACACATAATAGAAACTGGCTCTGGCTAGCTTAAGGGGAAAAAAAAGTGAGGTAGCACATTGGGAGAATATTTGGGTAGCTCATAGAATTTGAGACTGAAGGAGTCTTTGACTGCAGAGGTTAGGGTTCATGGCTGTCTACCTGGGGTAAGTGTACTGCCACACAACTTGTCACAGGTCAGGTCAGGCCTTCAACTTGTGACCCTTCAATCAGGTGAACAGCGGCAGAATGATGGTTGAGCATGTTGGGGGGGGGGGGAGGAAATCACACTGTTATTTGAGGGGGGGCATGTTCTAGCAGAGAGAGAACTCTGAGCTGGTGGCTGTATATGTGAGGTCTATTTGGGATGTTTTACAGGCTGCGTTTTCATGAGAAGCCTATTGGAACCTTCAGTCCTATCTCACAAACAAGAAAATGTAAGTTCTAATTTGTTAGGCAGCTTGTCTTCAGGACCATAGATGAGTTAGAATATCCATTGGGTCTGTAAGGACGGACAACCTCCTTCACATATGGACACGTGTGTCAAGTGTCTCTGGGATGGAAACTCTGAGATGCTTTCTGTGGCATCCACAGGGTACTTAAAGACTTGGAGTTGGTACTCAGTCCCACCCTGTCCTGTTGAGCAGATGAGAACTAATCTACTCCTTTAATGAAATTGAAGATACCACAAAAACACACACAGGGCAGGGGGCATGGGTGATAATTCCTTTATTAGTGGAAAGTTGTGTTTTTCTACTACTCAAGTGTGTTTATGAACTAGAACCCTAATCTGATACTGACTTTATAATTTTCTTAAATATTTATTTATTTTTATTGGAAAGGCAGATTTACGAGGGGAAAGATCTTCAGTTGATTGGTTCACTCCCTGAGTGACTGCAAAAGCCAGAGCTGAGCTAATCCAAAGCTAGGAACCAGGACCTCGAGACTCCTTTTGGTATCTCACATGGGTGAAGAGTCCCAAGGCTTTGGGCCATCTTGCACTGCTTTCCCAGACCACAAGCAGGGAGCTGGATAGGAAGTGGAACAGCTGGAAATAAAGCAGCGCCTATGTGGGATCCTGATATATGGAAGATGAGGATTTAGCCACTGAGCCATTGTGCTGGGCCCTACTTTTTTTTATAAAGATTTATTTTTATTATTTTTTCATTGGAAAGGCGGATATACAGAGAGGAGAGACAGAGAGGAAGATCTTCCATCCGATGATTCACTCCCCAAGTGAGCCGCAACGGGCCGATACTATGCCGATCCGAAGCCAGGAGCCTCTTCCGGGTCTCCCACGCAGGTGCAGGGTCCCAAAGCTTTGGGCCGTCCTCGACTGCTTTCCCAGGCCACGGGCAGGGAGCTGGAAGGGAAGCGGGGCTGCCGGGATTAGAACCGGCGCCCATATGGGATCCCGGGCGTGCAAGGCGAGGACCTTTAACCACTTGCGCCACCGCGCCGGGCTGGGCCCTACTTTTATGATTCAATAGTACCTAACTGCTTTTCCATTTTCAACCTCTCAATGTAGTGTTTTGTTTCTCAAACATGAGAGCATCTCAGTTTTGAGACTTGAGGGTTCATTTAAGATGCAAACTCTCATAGCACAACATTAGATCATACAATTATCCTAGTGAGTACTATCAGAAATGGTCTGTATACAAAACTGCAGGTTTTACTGAGGAAATCAGTGGCTTGCACATCATTGGGAAAAGATTGTTAACTTAGAAATATTCATATCAGAATCCCCTGTTCAGGGGACATTTCAGTTACTATGGACAGTTTTAGGAAAAGCTTTTTATAGCAGCTCCTAATTGTGTGTTGTACGTGGTGGGTATCCTGTGAGTTTATTTAATGTTGGATCTGATAATAATCAGTTTGGGTCAACAGCAGAGCTGCATTCCCAGGTGGAAGGACACAACCCATTCTGTGGAGGTTGGGGATGGATGAGAGTTTGAGACCCTCACGTTCCCTGAATCAGTGCTGTCTGTCTCGGGATCTGCACTGTCCTTCTTGGGATCTGCCCTGTCTGTCTCGGGGTCTGCACTGTCCTTCTTGGGATCTGCACTGTCTGTCAGGATCTGTGCTGTCTGTTTTGGGATCTGCACTGTCTGTGTCTGTGTGTGCTGTCTCAAGATCTGTGCTGTCTGTGTCTGTGTGCTGTCTTGGGATCTGTGATGTTTTGGGATCTGCACTGTCTGTCTTGGGATCTGCACTGTCTGTCTCAGGACCTGTACTGTCCTTCTTGGGATCTGTGCTGTCTCATGATCTGTTCTGTTTTGGAATCTGCACTGTCTGTCTCAGGATCCATTCTGTTTTGGGATCTGCACTGTCTGTCTCGGGATCTGTGCTGTCTGTGTCTGTGTGCTGTCTTGGGATCTGTGATGCTTTGGGATCTGCACTCTCTGTTTTGGGATCTGCACTGTCTGTCTCGGGATCTGCTCTGTTTCAGGATCTGGGCTTCAGTGACCCTCACACTTCAGACTCCCCCAAGTAACATGTGAAGCCGTCCTATCATCTAATCTGATGACAGGGAGTCAAAAGATTTCAAATAAACCATAACATTGTGTTAGTGGCTTGTTCCTGGATTAAAGTTCTTTCCTTTATCATTAGGCCACACTTCAAGTCAGTGTTGTGCTTGTTTTAATTTCTAAAAGAAAAGTAAGAAAGCATTGACATTAGCAAGTGTCTTGCAAAATATTACAGGTAAAGGTGGTGTATAGAAAGAATCATACTTGGCCCAGAGTCTTAAGTAAGAAATTTTTACCCAAAAATCCTGTTTAAAAAACTAAAATAAGTGTAGCCACCAGGTAAGATTTTGGAGCTCTTTATTACACCAAGAGGTTTCAGAAAAGTACAAAGCCCATGAAAGTAGGAGCATTTCAGAAAATAAGACAAGACATTTGCATACTTAGTTAATGATATTTAACTCGGATGTTAAAAATACCGGTGTTTTTGAATTGAGGCACACTGCTTATGAAGCTAGAACATTCTGAAGCTCTGACAAGAGGTTTCATATGTCCTACACTTGAAACTGAATGCCTAAAAATGGCTGAGCAGTATTATCTGTATAGTGCAGTAAGTGAGTGCTTTTTGAAGCACAGAAAATAAGCATTTATTACACCCACCACCTCTAGTCTAAGAGGCAAATCAAAGTTAAACATAATAATCTTTACTGTTTTTATTTATATCTCTGTTTTCAGTGTAGACCAAGCAAAATATGGATCCCATTATAGAAAAGAAGTTTCAGAATGATTCTTTTTTGGAATCATATCAGCATTTGATATCAAGTTACATAGATAAATAAGTGATGCTAAGGTCCATGCTGTTTTTCTTTTTTTCAAATCAAATAAATAGGTGGCTACATGTCAGCATCTTGTCAGGACTCACTCTGAAGCAGTGATAAAGACATTATTCCTTTAGCCAAACAGAACAGAACCACCAGCGGCTATAATGTTCATTTAATCAACTTTTGAAAATATGGCACTTTGAAATGACTTGAGCCAACAGCACACGTTTTGTTGCTACCACTGCTAATGGAGTAATAGTGTAAAGGAGAATCCAACAGAGATTAAGTGAGATTAGTTACAGTTCTAAGTGCTCAGCTGCATCCTTGACCTAGAAGTCAGTTCAGAGCATGTCTGTTGGGGACAGGGGAAGGGGTGAGGTGGGGAAAGAACCAACAAAAAACCCAGAGCATCTTGATCATTCACAGCATGTATTTGAGAGGTCTAACGATTTACGTAACGCCAGTGCACTTCCTTACTCGATGTCCACAGGCTCCGTAGCTATTAAGGCGCTTAACTGTTTCTGAGCGCAGGACAGGAACAGTTCCAGACTAGACAGGCTTCGCTGGCGGATGACTTGATCAAGCTGTTCATTCATTGTGGGGATAGAGAAAGAGAAGAGAGACACTTAATTGACACACTATCCCTTACCTCTCAACTAAGCCCATTAAAATGTTTCTGCAGTTAGAATATTTAAGATATTAAACAGTACATGTAAATGAGGTGACAGTACAATCATTTTTCTTGGCATATCAGGTAAGATGACATGAAACAATGGTGCAACCTTATGGTTGACATGGAGACTCACTTGATGGAGAAACACCATGCATTTGATCAGTTACTGCAAGAATGTCAGTTTTTAATGAGTTTGTAGAGTATTAGAACCAGTAAAATGTCAGGCAAATTTAAAAAAGAATGGCAGTGCACTATAATTAAACTATGGCTAGGGTTTAGTAAAACAAATAAGCAAGGAAAGAAATATTGTGAACTTAGTTTTATAACAGGTAGTTTTTAGTGATTGCTTGAAAGTGTTGAAACACATCTGACTTGGTCCTTCATGAGGAGGCATTGTAAAAATCAGCATTGTTTCCATGTATCAGTAGAAAACCAAACAGGAGGTTTAATCAAGGAAGTTAGTTGCTGTATTTAAAAAAGAAAATTCTGAATTGTAAACATTACTAAGTAATTTTTTTTTCCAAAGTATCAAATCAACCTTGACAAAACAATGCCCATGATCCTGGAATGATGGAGAAATCCAAAGGAAAGTTAAATAAAATCTATTTCACAATATATACCTGTTAGATAAAACCTGAGGGAGTCTTCCCTTAACACCCCTCCCCAACAAAACAAGGAAAGGTGGCAGATACAAACAACAATTTTCTGCTGTAGCATTATAAAATTCATGTGTACCTAAAAAGAATGAACAACAGAAAGAAAAATATTTTGAAGCAGTCTGAGTTAAAGTGAATTTTAAACTTACAAAGTGTAAAGAAAAGATGGGAAGGTATGAAGACACTGTTTTACTATTTTATATGACTACAGGTGCAGAGATAGGGCTTCTATGTATCATTTTTCCTTCTTCCTCGGGTTATACCTTCATGTGAGTAGCTTCTGCCCACTAGACTCCTGGGAGAATCCTTCAGCTGTAATCCCAGGTGAGCACAGATGTTTTCTGTTTTGCTTAGTTTTGTGTGGCCAGCCTCCTGAACAGGATCTGCTGTATGTCACATCCAATAAATGTTTGCTGACAGTGGATGAATCAGTAAATATATAACACTGTCAGGGATAGGCAATCTCGAAAGCAAGGCAAACACTTGTCAACACTGAGCCAAATCAAGCAGATTTGCAATTAGGAAAAGTTGGAATTTGTCAGTTTCATATTAGTGTACATTGAACATACTGAAAATTTTGCAACTTTTGTAATTGCTTGAAATCTGAACAGTATGGATGGGGATCCAGTGGTTCCATTCCGTTCTCCCAAGATCTCTGTCTGCTTGAGGATGCCTTCCAGTGTTTAACGTCAGACTTTTGGAAAATATTTGAGTCCTATCTTGTAACTTTTAACTCGGCTACCATTACCGAAACTGTTTTCATGCTTCAGTAAAAATGCCTGATCGCATTCCATAATTCGCTTACCACCCTTGCATTAGTAGACACGTTGAAGTTATTCCAATTTTGCTATTTTTGAAGCAGTAAGAAAAAATTTAATACTGGAATATTCACCTCTCTGAAGATATTCAAGGGTTTCTCTTGGACAGATTCTGGTATGTGGAATTTCTGTCACAGATTCGCGTGTTCTAAGCTGTGAAAGACAGTCACGTAGGCTTCCACGGTGAGTGTGCAGAGCCTGCAGTCTCAGCTACAGAGCGCGAGAGAACTAACTTCACTAGATGCGGATCTTCCCACTATTTATCATATAGTATATAGGGTTGGTATTTCAATATGTAAGAAATCCTGTGTAGATACGTTGAATTGTTTCTAATGTAATCTGTGCTGTAGTGCCCATCCTTGACCACACATCTGTCTGCTTGCTTGCTGCTGTACCCAGAGGAAACTCTCTAAGTAAATACGAATATGCAATGATAGCCCTAATAACAATCCAGATTTCCATAAGCACAGGAATTCGATTTTCAATTCCTTCCATTGGACAATTTACATATATTACATATATGTATAAAGGTAATACTATCTTAATTACTACACCTGTATAAGCTTAACATGGTGTAACATCAGTTAAGAACATTTCAAAAACATACATTTGAAAAGTGTGGCAAAATTGATGTTAAACAGAAAGTGATTGTATTATACTCTAGCACACTTTTTCTCACGAAACAGGAGTCAGAGGTACATTAAATTACACAGGAAACATTTCCTGCAAAGGTGAGGAAGAATGCCCCAGGAACTGAGCACAGTTAAATCTGATGGGAGGAGTCATGCTGAGGCTTCATGGCTCTCACTGCTTTTATTCCCTCATTTATGTGTGCACATGTCATATGTACCAGCTTTAACAGTTCACCTTCTTTGATTGTCCTAGGGAGCTTTTTTTTTTAAAGTCTGAACAGTAGATCAAATTTTCTCTCAGAGGAAATGTAGCACAAACTGATGACATTAACACTCATATACAGAAGACAAGCACAGTAGATTTCTGCTCCCACGCTTCTGTCGAAGCCACTCTGAACTGCCCCAGAACATGCCCATGAGGACATGGACTCCCTGGCTTTGGATCTAGGCCTACTCGGAGCTCTCCGAAGGGCAGATTCCAGAAATAAACAGGAGCTGCCCGGTGATATCAGTGTTCCATGACAAACTGGGGTATCAGACCTTTCATGGGTCTTTCCCAGGCAAGGTATGTTAAGGTGATGTCTGTAAGACGGGATGCTGAACGACCTCTCCAAGGCTGTTGACTTCCTCCCTGAAACCAGTGCATCAAGCTGAGGTCTTGGCTTATCCCTCAATTTGGACAACTTTATTAGGCGTCACTTTATTATCCTTTGCGGAGGTAAGAAGAATTTTAGCGAAATAGTTTTCCTTTTTTTTTTAAAGCCCCTCTAAAGTGGAATTCTGTATTTATGGCTTTTTTTTCCAAAGTGGTTTAAGGTTTAGTTTCTATGATACACTTACAGACACGAATCACAAAGCAGTGTTGGCAGACATGATAGTATAGTTCAAAATGCTCTTTTTTTTTTTTTTTTTACTGGTTTAATGTCTATAACTCTGATTTTTCTTAAACATATATCTGGGCCTTATGAATACTACTAATTATCTTTCCTAATAATTTCATAGTATATTTTCGAAAGGCAGTAGGAAACATGCTTCTATTTACTAAAAGTTGTTTAGTTTCATACTTGGGGGCAGTGTGGAAAATATGTGACTTCTCAGTTATTCTTTGTATTAGATTTACATTCCAGTGTTTCATGCCACAGCAAAATAGAACAAAACATCTCTTCATCTTAGCTTTGAATTGGTCCCCAAAGTGTAATATGAAGCATATCAGTTTTGACTTGTCTAAAGTGTGGCAATGAAAAGTCAGTCATGAGCAAATCTGGCTTCTTGCTGTAATGGCATGGTTTTATAGGAACACTGAGCACGTCCCCAAACACCTGATACTCTGGTCTTGAAATACACACATGCAGATAGAATATACATAAATGTGTATGTATACATATTTGTGTGTATGTATGTGCGGACACATGCATGGGTATGGATATATATATTACATGTGACCCAATAACCTATGCCAAAATGTGCAAAACTACTGAGCATACCATTATCCATGCTACTTTTCTGATCTAAACTCTGACATACTTTAAATTTATGCCTGAAAATGATCTCATTTTTCAGACAAATTTGGTGGATTGTCCAGCAAATCCACTGATGGATGAAACTGACTCATGCACACATGTTATCAGTTTTGTAATACATTTCATGGGCTCGGATTTCGTGTTGACCAAAAGGTTCTTTTCTTCTGAGCCCTTGAGAAAGGTCACGTTAATGTCATGGAATGGGAAGCTCACAGGCTGCCTTGCTGGGTGGGAGGACCGGTGCCCTTCCACTGAACGTGTTGCCCTTCTGACACTGTGTTGATGGGGCTGGCTCTTGCTCCCCGGCCTCACTACACATCTCTCCATTGCCTCTGCCATCATACAATCCAGCTGCTGTTTAGATTACACGTTTTGAAACGGAACCAGTCAGCTTGTCCGTTAGTCGGGTGGGCAGTAAAATAGTGAGGACTGTCCACTATTTGTCTATTATTACTGCTTTGAAGCCACTGGAAGAAAAGCATTCAGGAACATCCATGTCTTTCAGAGGTTTATGATCTTGGGGAGACTCAAAAGAAAAGTGGAAGAACAATTCTTTGCTAATATTTGTGGCGAAAACTGAGACCACGGGTGATCAGAGAGAGGAGGGATCATGTCAGGAGGGTTGCCGAGAAACCTCAGTGTTGGGATTCGAATGGCCTGTTGGGAGATGGAAAGCATTTCCTTAGAAAAAGAGCAGGATGTGGTGGAAATCTCAGTAACAGTAGAATAGTGAAGAGACAGAAAACACTCGGGCATGCTGGCAAAGGAGTCTGTGTGCTATTTAGTACCTACTGTTTGCCAGGCACTGATGTGGCGCTAGGGACATGGAGATAAATTAGATGCTGTCTGTCTGTATGGCAATTTTTGCCTTACAGCATTTGTATCTGAGGAAGTAAATTGATGTTCTTCAAATGGATATCAGTGATTTAAAAAATAACCAAGCATACTCAAGAGTTAGATGAACAGGAGGGGAAAAAGGGTTATAGATATACACCTGGAAACAGTGGTTTTTAAGGTGCTTGTAAGAAACATAGGAGCAAGGGAGATAGGCAAAAACCATGGGGACTAATTTCCAGGCAGATGAAGCACATGGGGAAAAGTAAAACAGTAGACCCGGAGTTGCTCTGAGACAGGACTGGGATAATCTCCAGTAAGATTATCACACAATGAGTAGGGTGGAGACAGATAGGGAAAAGAAGAAGGGATTAGAAGTGGCCTGAGCATGGAAGATCCTGCATGTCTGCATATCATTTGGAAGACAGTGGCAATGATTTGACCATGCTTT